CTTGGAACACTGCATAATTCCACGGTAGGCTACAGTGAATCAGAGACTCTGGAAGAAAATTCATCATTTACTAAAACTTAAGGGGTGCTTTTCCCCTCAAGAAAAATAAACAGATTCTTGCCGGAATTGCATCCTTAAAATAGGCATCTGCAATATATCTGTGCTTTTTATTGCCTATTTGGACCAGATATCTCACTTTTAAAAATTATATTGGTGTGTGATTTTGCCACATTTTCAGTAAGAATGTATATAACTTTGGAAGTTTAAGTTATACGTTGAGGACATGGGAATAATTCCCCAAATCTCTGAGAAACAGATGATTCAGAGGATTCATTTATCATCACTTGTCCTTTTATTTTTATTTTTTTATTTGACTATTCCTTCATTGAAAAGTTCAGGATCAGCAATGAAACAGAACAACAATTAGCACCTCAAATATAACCCTCAATTTGATATGATCCTTCCTAAACATGAGTATATCCACCGGTAAAATACGCAATGTGTCGTTTGGCTTTTGCATTAAAACATTAATTATTTTTTAAGCCAGAAAGAGAAAGACAAACACCGTATGATATCACTCATATGTGGAATATAAACCAACACATGGAAAGAGAAAACTGTATTGTGGTTACCAGGCGCAAGGGGGTGGGGAGTGGGCACAAGGGGTAAAGGGAGACATGTATATGGTGATGGACAAACAAAAATGTACAACCCAAAATTTCACGTTATAAACTATTATAACATCAATAAAAAAACCCATCAATTATTTTTAAGAATATCAGAGGACATATCCAACTTTGTAGGAAGAGGAAGTTTAATTTGAGGTCAAGTGAATTAGTAATTTCTCTAGAAATGCACTGAGAAATATGGGGTAGCCACTAGCAACAGGTGGCTATTTAAATTTAAATTAATTAAATTAGATGAACTTAAAATTGATCACTTATCCTTTTAAAATTAAAGACCTGTAGAACTAAGTCTAACTAAAGGTCAACTTTTTTTTAAGGTTTCTTCTCTTACCTGATTAAAAAGACTACAATTTCCTTTTCAGACAATTTCAGGCAATGGCATCATTGCTGGCTAGGGGATGGGAAATGGCTTATTTGACATCTGTGTCTATCTTCCACTTTGATTTCTTCACCTGCTCCACCTTAGAGTTACCTGGAAGGACTTGAGTATCTGCTCGGCAATACATTCAAGGAGACTTGACCTCTATGTGAACTTAGTGTCAATCTCGAGGTTACTGGGTTGTACTGAGATAAAGATGATTGGATTGTAGACAAGAAGATAAGACCACCCTCCTGTCCATCAGGAGGGAAAAAGGCTGTTAACAAAGAACGGGACTCAGTAGCTGAGCTTCAGGCTGTCAGGATTCTTCTTATCTTGGGGTCTTGTCCTCCTGAAAGAATTTAGAGCCATGTTTTTCAAACCACGTTCAGTAGGTTTTAACCCTAGGTTAAGGCAGCACCTCATGGGCTATTGCGGAGAGAGGAAGCAGGTTGAAGGAGGTTGGGAGGCTGAGCTCTAAGGCTCTAGACCTCACCCTGACATTTCAACCAGTGCAGCTCTGCTTTTATCTACTGTATAGATTGGACTCGACATCAGATATTTTTAATATAAGCAGATGAAAAAGTTGAACTTACCAGAACTCCTTTCAGGGAAAGTACTATAAGTGGTTAGAAAGAACACTAAGATAAGTCATTTAGAAAGGGTGGGAGTAGAGGTGAGATCTTCAAAAGCAGAATGGAAATAAAAATACATTGCCAGTAACCTGCCATCTCAGGAAAGTGAGTCCTGATGACTTCAAAACTTTTGTTTATCTGAGAAGGATAGGCAGATTTGAGGACAGAGTTGAACAACTCATGAGAATAGGGGACAGGCTATGTACGGTGTGGGAGGAAGGGCAGACAGAGAGAATCTCTAGTTCACAGCACAGCCAGAGGGACTTGGGAGAAGAAATATGTCAAATGGGATTCTATGAAGTTGCACACAGTGGGCTGTGCAACGTAAAAATATCCTTTGCTATCCAACACTGCCAGCACCCTACACCTCAGATAGTATTTAGTAAAACTTAATAATGCTTTGGGGGCTTTCATTGTGAATAAATTCTTCCTAGAGAAGGCAGGAGATACTGAGGCTTGCAAACTGATGGTGTAGAGAAAAAACACAGCCATACATGTTTCATTCGGTGATTCACCAGGACTGCCAAAACTCAGTAACAGCTAATACTCACTGCTTAGATTTATTACAGAGAAGGATATGGGGCAAAAGCAAGGAAAAAGATATGCAACAGTGGAGCTCAGAGAGGTCCAGCACAAGCTTCTGAGACCCTCCTTGTCCAACACCACATAGAAGCGCTCTTTTTGTAGCAATGAACTACAGGGACACCTGTGGAATGTCTGTGTCCAGGAAAGCCCAAACGAGTCTCCAGGTCGAAGGCTTTAAGGGGGGTTGGTCATGTAGGCATATTCTGCTCTAAAACCAGCCTTGGCAACAAAACTCAGGACCCCAACAATGAAACCAGGTGCACATCATTAATCTTGGTGTTTGTGTAAAGCAACCTGAAAAGCCAGGTTGGAATGGAAGCATGGACCATTGCTTTAGGTGTATATAACAAAATCATCAATCACTAACATAAAGAACATTCTGAGGGCCACATCCCAGGAGTTGGCCAAGCGTCACTAACAGTTCCCTTGAAGACATAAGTAGTAAGCAACCAGACTTGCTGTGTTCATTTTTTTCCTCACAATATGTGAGGGACAATGAAATCTGGCTAGGATTTGAAAAAGGATTTCTCCACCACAAAACCATTTATGTGGTGGAGGTTAAAGATGGCTTCTGCCACCTGGAGGCAGATGATAGACTAGGCAAGAAAGCCTTCCTGTTGTAGGCCTCTAGCTGAAAATGAATTAACTATATCTTTTAAGTCAGAGTTTTTAATTTCATGGTACTTGCTGTATTTATTTTGCAAGCATTTAGTGAATTCTTGCTTAAAAGTTTGAGCCTCACCTCAACTATGCTAGAGGAAATGAAGGGCATATTTATTTATTCATTCAACAATTGTATTGAATATGTATGTACTATTTGCTAGGTACTGTTGTGAGTGTTGGGGATAAATTAATGAAAAGACAGTTAGATGTTTACTCTTATGAAGCTTACAAATCTTGTGGGAGAAATAAGAAAAAATGTGATTTAGGAAGCTCCAATCCATAGTTGGGGCAAAGTCATAAAAGAAGACTGGTGTTCTACCTGGAAGTCTAGAAAAAAGGAAATCCAAAGAAAATGAGTTTATCGCTATCTCTAGGCTGTTCTATGAGACACTTTTTTTTTTGCATGCCTTCTTAACTATGGTGACCAACCATCCCAGTTTGTCTGGGACTGAGGGGTTTCCCAGGATGCAGGAGTTTCAGTGCTAAGACTGGGGCAGTTGGCGACCCCATTTCCAGCCCATGATCATTTCACTCTTCCTCTGAGGACTGTTCTCCCAAACACAGTAGTGGGTCCTAGCAGCCATGTTTGTGCTGTCACCCTGGCCATCCGGCTATATTAGAGATCAGGACCCATTACTAGTCAATGTGTATCTTAAGAACTTGGCTGAAGAAATTTCTCAGAACCTAATTGCAGATCTCTGTAGTGAAGTCTCACACAGTTCTGTCATTGAGGTCTCTACAACCAATCTGTTTGACCTTTTGGAAGCCTGTTTATCTAACTTTTAATTCTCTGTGGTAGCCCAATCTCCTTCTAAGAAGTTCTCTCCCTATCTACCATTTTTGCTTAAGCTAATTTAAATGGATTTTCTTCGCTTTGTTACTAGAAACTTAACTAAGCCAGTTCTCCAGTTGAGAGTACCATTTTTTCAAGTCAAGACTAACAGCTCTGGTTCTTCAGTTAGAACCATTCCTAGAATATTCCTCAAGCTTACTGGAAATATCTCTTGGGGATAGCTGGCTCCCTGGTTATAGAACTGTTATTTTCATCTCTTGAATGGACCCACCCACCAAATTTATTTCTAATTTCACATTAATAAACTGGCATTCTGGCTCATTTCGGTATCATTTTTTTTAACGGCTTAATTTGAAGTGTAGAGATTCTACTGAAACCCAGTCTGACACATAACCCCACCCTTTTCCTCCTAGGCATGTTAGTTGCACGTGGTTAAGTGTTCAATTAAAGCTTCTCAGATGAACAACTGAAAATTGTTCTTGGTCTTTTGTTCTTCAATTCAGATTTGTGGCAAATTCTGCAGCCCTTTCCCAAATAATTCCTTCCCACTTGACCATCCTTAGCAACTGGGTATTAGTTTCTTACAGAAAAGTCCCCTTGCTTTGGAACCACTCCCAAGCACACCTGCTGTTCTAACTTCCTCTTTGTTTCAGCTTCGGGTATTTCACTTTACAAGCCAAGTTTTGAAGGCTCTCAGTAGGCCATACCTGAATTATCCTGTGTACCTCAGTAATTCTCTTCACACCTAGCATCACTCAGGTAAACCTACGCACGGATCAGCCTACTAATTCCTCTCCAGACATGAGTGCTTCCTCTCCTTTCCTGTGACTAGTTCAGCAAAGCTGAACTAACCTTATTCCCAGGCCGATTTCAGTGCCCCTTAATTCTAATTTCGCATCAGAACCACCTGGGTAGCTCCCTAAAAAAAAAACCAAGCAACCTGGGCTGCCCTCCAGACCTATGGAATCAGACTACGTAGGCATGGGCTCCAGAAAGCTGCCTTTTGAAACAGCTCCCAGGATTCTGACGTACTCCTGGACGAAGAGCAGGCCCACGCCCAGTTCCTTGAGACGCCTCTCAGCATTTTTTCATTCCTCCTCACACTTTGTAAACTTAACCTTTAAGAACTTAAAAGCAAAATAAACTTTTTTTCCTGACCATTCTTTTTCTTCATAATTACTAACATTATATGGACATCTACTAAGTGCCAGGTGCTGTACTTAAAACACAAAATACATCAGACCCTGCTTATCCCATCACCTCAAAGGAAACACTGCTCCTCAGGATTAAGCATGTATTTATTTTAGTTCAGTTAAAACAAACATACATTGTTTCATTGAAACGGTGTAGCACTCTTTGCCAACAAGTCGCACTGGAATTGTTGGCCTCTAACAGTACAGTGGGGATATTTACATTATATACAGAAAGGTAACACACCCAGGTTCTCAAAAAGGTCTTTCATTACACTAGATCACATTTGATTTCATTACACTAGATCACATTTTCATTAACTACTGCATTTTGAAAATTTAGACCTTATTTAAAATTTAAAGAGATCTGAACTTGCACCAAGTTTTCATGAAAAAATATGTTCAACCAGTCTGTTTATTGCAAATACAATTTAAATGTTTTAAACCTTTTAGTGTTTATACAACCTGTCAATTTGTTTATATCGAAATTTCTGTACAGGTACTTTTGGGACAATTCTTATAGATACATAATGTGAATTCATCAAAATGCAGTTAAGAAACTTACAGGAATATATACACTGAAACCCAAGACCCAAACCTGACATTATATACAATCTATTTACAAATACATATGGACAGACAATGTATGTACATAGATTATCATAAATATTGAAAAATAGGTTAGCTTTAATGGATTAATGCTGTTCTATAAATAACATTACAGTTATAACTGAAACATCCACGGAAGACAGTAATGCAAAATGAGGTGACAAGACAGTGGTTTTAATACTGAAGACTGCTCATTCATGGGAATTCACTAGTTAGGAACCTCAAGGCAGACAAGATAGCTCCAAGAAAATCATGCAATGGAATTTACCCTAGCCAGTTGATTTTGAACCTCAAACAGCTGAAGAGGATTGGAGGAGCCTCCCCACATGGATTTGCTGTGAGAAGAGGATTCTTTTTTCCATTCCTTCCTGGTTGCCATGGTATTTTCTTCCATACGAAAGGATGTAAACTGTAGAAAACAACTCTTCACTTGTTTGTCACTTGTTTGTATCTTAGATATAAAATCAGCAATTCTTTCCAAGAACTCAAGTGGAAGTGCCGATTCTTGGTCGGAACTAGAGGTGAGGTTCTGGATTTGAAGGGAGTGTCAAAAACCCAATTAAATGAAAGCAGTGCTGTAGAATCCATCTTCTCACTGCCTTTCTAGATGGTCCCCAATTACTTAATTTTCGTAGAAACAAACAAAAAACGGACCATTGGTTTCACCCAATGTAGCACTACAGGACGTCTTCCAGTTCCACAAGGGTCTTTAATTACAGACACATCTTCTCTGTAATTTAGTCACATATAATACAAGAATGCGTAACAAAACCCATGTCTGCCACATTTCTGGCCCTTGCCTAAAACTAAAAATGTTTAGTTCAAGAGAAAAACCTTAGAGCCAGATGACCAATTGATGATTCCATTATTTGTTTCCCTCAACCACTAATGGAATTATGTATATTAGATTTTAGTCATTATGCCTGATGAGCAAAGTACCACATTATTTAATAATATATTCACCATACACTATAACGTACAATAAATGTGCTCTTAAAGCCAAGTAATTTTTCACTTCTAACTGGGATGAAATGGAAGGGCGAACATGCAGTTGGACCAACTACTTACACTCAGGTTGCACTGTTTTCCCTAGCTAACCACTTGTTGGATGTAAACAAATAATTCTATGTTGTACAAGAATGAGATGACAATCCAGTGCAAACGAGTTTAAAAAGCTTACTGCATGAGAAACCCAGTGGCCTAGATGAAGAGAACTTATACCAAATATCGGTGTAACTGTGGATTAGATCTCTACTGTAGACAAAACATGAATACGACTAAGCCATACATAATCAAGTAATTCACACTTCCAGTAGTAGATGAGCATTTTGAAAAGTTGTACTCTCTGGATAGAATAGTTTTGGCCTACAGCCATCAAATGCCCATTTTCCACTGCTGGAAGCAACGTCAAAAAAGGGCTGGCCCAAAAAACCAGGGCTGTTGATACAACTCTGGAGACACATGCAACTGAATAAACCCTGTTTTACCCAATTGCACTATTTGGTACCTCAAAATTAGTTATTTTACTCCCCACAAAAATATCTGCATTATCTTCCATTCTAATAGATTGAAGTCATTAATATTTCAGTCTGAATGAACCGAATTATTTGGGGACAAAGAAGAAAAATGATGAACAGAGTTCATCTGATTTGGGTATAGCAATAATCAATCAATTATCCTTTAATGGTGAAGTTTGAATGGAAAAAACTATGCTCCTATTCATGGTACAATTTTTCATGACATTTTCTCTAAAAATTATTTTGGGTAAAAAAAGTATTTGGCTTATTATACCTACAAAAAGGCAAATCATTTCATACCACTAATATTTGTTTTTAAATACCAATGAAAAATTTTTTATGGAATTTACTGACAACCGTTTTTGGATAAAGTTCAAAAAAAGCAATTTTTTAAAAGTAATATAGTGCTTCTGAGGTCTTTAAATATTTTTGGTACAAAAAAAATTATAGTGTTTTTCTCAATGGTTATTTCAATACTTTGCTGTAAATTAAGAATTGTTTCTCACATCGAATGGTTCCATTAGGCACATTCAAGTAAAATCATAAAATATCCAAGTTAAACAATGACACAGCCAAACATGTGGCTTGATAAAAGTTAAGAGTCCGTCCATTCTCTGGAATGGAATAAAATTGTCACTTCCATTAACCCGAGACTCGTGGTTTTGTTGTTAATATCCATTTCTATCATACAGAATAGTTTCTTTAGGGAAAAAAAAAAGAAAAGTTCATTTATTCTGCATTCAGAAGAACCAGCGAGGAATCTACACTTCAAAAGGAAGTGAAACTGAAAACATTAGGTGAAAATTCATAGTAGTTGAGAGTTGACTCAACACTGGCATCAAATGGACTATCGGAGTTTTAGTGGTGACAGTTAATGGCCACCTTCAGAGGCATTGTGTACCCAATCCAAAACAATCAAGGCCATGCTCCCCGTCATCACCACTATGCCACTCAACAGGAAGCACATTGCCTGCAATGAGCACATAGAGAAAACCGATCAGCAAGCAACAAAACATGTGCTAAACACTCCTCTTCCTACTTTTAAAAATGGGCTTATAGTTACTAACTACGTCAGTAATATTTTATAAAGTTACAGTTTTACCTTGCTAAAGATATCTAAACTTCCTAAGTGTATTTACAGTACAAAACAACCGTACCATTGAAATTTTCCCAAATTTCACTTTTTCACTCCTTTGTCTCAAATGAAAAGGTTAGAAATAATTTTCTTTGCTGAGTAAACTATTTCATATAACACAACTGGACTGGGCTTTTGGCGTTTTTTAAAGCAAAAATTGAAGTCACAAAATCAAACCCAAGTCATCCTAAAATGCAGCCTCAGTCAAAGCCAGAGACTTTTCTAAGAGACATGAGGAAGTTTACTCTTCATCCTACCCTTCAATTACTGCCATTCTATATTTTGAGTAAAACAAGATGACAATTGTTGGTTTATAAACAATTCTAGTACTTTCATCAGACTAGAATGGTAGTGGAGAATAAGGACCAGAAAGCCGTCTTTTCCTAAATATCCCCACCAGGAGGATCATTTGTGGTTGACACATTACACTCTTTCTAAAATGCGTTGTTACTACACTTTAAAGTACTATTATGTACTTTAAAGTATAATAGTCTCCCAGAGCTTTGCTTTGAAGATGGTTAGTCTCGTTCAACTCAACACCCCATTATCTTTCCCTTTTATATCCTCAAGGCCTATTTAAGTGCCTGTCACACAGTAGGCAGCCCAATAAGTGTTGGTTAAACAAAAGTTGAAAGTTGAGTCAGTATCTTTATGCTCTTTATTTCTATCTCTAAAATATCTAAGAACTTTCTTGCAATTAACTTAAGCATGGATTAGATGGCAACTATCTTTTATCTCCCCTCCCCCAATCTTGCACCTTTATAGAAATATTTACTAGAAACTGAAAGTGAAACTACAATAAATGACAGCTGAGACTAAAATTAAAATCAGTTGAGGCAATTCTGGTATTAGAGGATTATTACTGTTTCTACAGTCATAATCTCTCACTCACCCCAATCTTTTGTACGGATTTCATAGGTTCTTTCTTCACCAACTTGATATAGAAGGCAGACGGAAGAATAAAAATCAACATGGCAGCTGCAGACGCACCTGTAAAAGAACATTGACCATTTCTTGAGAATTCAATAAATCACTTGTTATTCATTTTTTAAACGTCAAATCCCTGATATTTGAATCAACTTCGATACTTTGTGAAACTTACCAATGAAACCAAAGATATCTCTAATGGTTGGGACAAAGATGACAAGCAAATTGGTAAATGCCAAGATAGACACTGTAATGACACTGTGACGCCACCAACTGAAATCTTTTGCTGGACACATCAACTGGGTCAAGGAACTCCGGATCTGCAAAAACCAATAAACAGATAAATAAAAACTCCAGTTTTAATTAATAAAAAAACAAACAAAACACAAATAATAGGAAATATCTAAAACAAGCAGCTATTTAAACACTAAAATTGTGCCCCTCCTCTGCTGCTCTTTTCAACATCTGAACACTGAAAGATCACTTTATATCTTTGATTAGGGAAAAAATGCCCCAGGATGTTTTGAAAATCTACAAAGTATTAAAGACAAAGCCCCGTCAAAACCACTATCAACTTGGTATTGCTCTAGCAGTGTTTTCGTCTCCCAGAAAATGAAAATCTCACAAATCTTAAGATGTTTAAAACTCACTCCTACTGCAAGGAGAGCAGGTGAATATTTACCGGGAAAATAACTACTGGGACCGTCAGGGTGACAGCCACTAACACAGCCAAACGGACGATGAGAAGAAGAATGTCAGTGCCCACGATAGCGGAGTAGGTATGAAGCAGTTCTGACTCGACATGTTCTATGGGAAAAGACACACACAAGAACTTCAAGGGTGCTGTTTTCTCTGGAGCTTAGGGAGAAAATCTTAACTTACAGCAAAATTTGCACCAAAGTTATTTGCTACTCACAAAACAACTATAAACTAAGAGGCTAATAAGATTAATTTGGAATTAGGGGTTAATGCAATTAAAATAACATTGAAGCAAAATTTTTCTCAATACTAAGTAGAGATTTAGCCACATGACCCCCCATTAAAAACATGAGCTAAACAGCTAAATCCCAGGGTTTGGCTTACAGTCTGGGTGTGTTGTATTAATATGAAGGTGACTGGAGAGGAGACAGGCAGAGTGAACTTAGATGCAAGCACATGATATAAAAATACCACCAAATGACTAATGGTATCTTTTTGAACCTGGATTCTAGAAATTACTATTAAGAATAAACTTAAATATACTCTAGGAAATTCAAAGCTCTAAATTCAATTTTTCATCACAAATATGAAATATACCAAAACAGACTGTATTTTTAAAAGTGATAGACTATACACACAAAAGTATCAATTTCATTATATGGAAGTATTAATTTCATTTTACTAAGTGTTTTTTTGTAAACTAGACATTATTTACCGTAAAATGTCAGGTAGCCAAAGAGAGCAGCAAGCAGGTACATGAGAAACATAGCAAAAAATGAAATCTTGGACACATTCATCATTCTTCTACGGCTGCGGCTATGTAAATTCAAAGGAAAATACAAATATATATTTTAGCAGTAGTTATAGCAGTAATCTAATATTTTTCCAATTTTTCCAACAAATTTATATGAAAATAGGTAAAGCACTCACCCTTTCAGCTCTTCGTAGATGGGAAGAATAGCCGGATGACAGACAAATGAAAAGGTCAGAATTGGCACAGCATAGACAGTCTGCAAAAAATGCAAAAACTGATTCAATACCTTAATGTAACAAACTTGTGTTACCACAGTTCGAAATTTCTATTTTATAGTAACAAATCTTAGAATCAAAACCTAATCAGTTTCCCTTGCATAATTAGCTTCCCATTCTTCTAATTTGTTCACTAAGTGTGACCAATATCCTAACTTCTGTATGTGCTATTATTAAAATCATGAGTATTTCATCTCTCAATCTATTTTAGGATATAAACCAATGCTTTCTTAGTCTTCAATAATCAGCTAATCACATTTTCTAAAGAGCAGCTATCACCCCTCCTCCCTTTACCTTGCGAGTTATTTTTCAATTTCCAAGGGAGAGTTTGCCTCTTTTCTTCCCTAAAATCTTCCTTTGAGAAAATAAAGATTATATATATTTAGTTAGTTACCTGTGAGTTGAAGATAAAGTAACGAGGCCTGCAAGCATCATCTTCAGTCATGTTAAATGCCACGGAAGACGCAAATGCTGTTGTTGGTTGTGTTAAGCTGCTGTTTACTGTCTCATTAATTATCAAAGCAACTTCCACAGGACAAGGAATCTGAAATTTCTTGCAAATCACCTGAAAATATATTATTTTGCATTTGTTAAACTGAATAATGTGACAGGGCTTATAAAAATATCTCTAGCTTTAAAGAAAAGTTATACCTACCACAATCAGAAAGAACATCATACACATCAAAGAAAGGCCACTGGTATATCCCAAATATCCTATAAAAGAGAAGGGAAAAAAATCAATATTAGTTTAATGAAACAGATATAGAGCAAATATATTTTCTTCACTAAATAACTTAATTCTGCTTGGAAGAATTTAGTGTAGATGATACTGAATTTCTAATTCTTATATACTAAGATACAGAATTACTTAAAGATACCTGCTAATAACTAACACAATAAAAACTTTCATTTTTTTATTACTATTTACAAAGCACAAGATATTATAAAATGTCAACAAAAAATATTTTGGGCCCCTGGTAGTGATCCTGCTAGGATTTTGAAAGACCTACAGGTTTGTATGCTGTAACTCCCAAAAGTATGTTTTCAGGGCTTTTTAGCTCCCAATTTCCATTAAGAGAAAGCCAACTAGCTGGTGAGAGGCTCACTCCAGTTCTCTTTAGAGACAGGTTTGCTCACCTAAATTTCTCAGCAGTGATAAAGGAAGGATGAGCACCAACGACACCAGTAGAACCAAATAGTCACCATTCAGATACCACAAGCTGAATTAAAGAAAAGAAAAACAAGGTTAAAACCAGTCACAAATATCCTCAGAATAACATACACATCTCACAGGACTTACTTTATAGAAATACTGTAAAAATAAACAAACAAAAAAGGTTGGGAAAAAAGTATCCCTTATTTCAAAAAGCCTACAGACGAGAATAAATTTCTAACTGTGCACTAGACGAATATTTGCTCAGGTTAGAAACGGGGTATGAAACAGTATAACTTCTGTCCCACTGTTTACTCTGGGAAGGCTGCCAGCTGATTTCATAACATAAAATGCTTCTTAAAGGCTCGATACTAACGTAGGCAACAAAGCAGCATTGTTAAGCCAGTAACCTTATCTTTAAGCACTTTTAGAAAAATTGTACCCCAACTTTGTCATAGCTTTAGCTTGCAATTTTTAATGCCAGAAACAAGGAAATTTTAAAACAAGTTTCTTTCAGACATTTGTTAGCAAATGTATTTATTAAGCACTTCAACAAGGAAGTTTTTTCATACTTAAATAAAATACAAAGGCAAACACAAAACAACAAAACGCAGTCCCCTGAGCCAGGTCATCAAGAGTATTATTCCAGGTCATCAAGAGTATGTTGTGACACCTTAAACCACCTTGACTCCAGAAGTAGTCAAAAGATCCTTTCTGAACTTAGAGGAAATATTACAAATGTCTCCTAAGAGTTTAGAATGTCTTTTCCTTTTTAGGTAATCAACTACACCCTCTTTTAAAACACTATTTTCCAATTCTAATTGCCCTGTGAATCCCACTCCACTCACTTCAGCAACAAGGATCCCACAGAAAACTAATATTTAAAGATCAGCTTGTTAAATTAAATTTCTAGAGCCGCAGAGATAACCATACCCCTCTATTTTGAGATAACAAGCTGCATGTAAGTGAGGTAGTAAATTATCCCTCCCCATGTTTACTTTAGATAAAAACCTGTTAGTCCACTGAGATGAGTAACTTTGCAAGGATAATGTTTCTACAGCATGGCCATATATTTTCTGGTATTATGCATTTAAAACAGATTAAGTTTCAAGAATTTCAAATTTACAAAAATCAGACAGGGATTGATTTTTAAGGTAATTCAAAGCTTCAGTCCTAACTTAGGGTGGAGTATGCGTTATTCAGCTATAACTTCTTAGAAAGTGAATATAAAGAGAGATGTTAAATTCTAGAAAACCTGTTTTCACACACAGGTTAGAAATTAGTTATCCAGAGTTATAAGACTAGCTACCATCTTTGGTCTTTCCTTCTCAGAAGTTCAAATCAGTTTATGGGGGACTTCTTGGTCAGTTTCAATAGAAATATTTATGAAAAATAATTTACTGATAATCACTTGGTATCCAACTTTGATAAAATGTATCTAACCGTTTTAGACTATAATTGTTTCTTATGAGTAACCTTACTTAGCACCTACCCAGTTGTATCTTCAATGTTCATTAATGCCTGGATCACCAAAGGTAACTCATATTTCACTATGAAGAGGTAGCTTGACATAGCTGGAGGAAAACAAAATTATACCATTACAAGTGCAAAATGTGGCATGTGACACCAAAAGTAATGTGTCACCACTCTGTGCTATACAAAGAGCAAAAAGTCTACCCAAATCACCTTTTAAAAATTCTTACCTCCAATGTTTTGCATTGTAATTGATCCAGAGGCTGCAAGCTTTCCAACCAATCCGAACGCCTTATGTCCCAATTGTTCATATAATAAAGACCCTATAATTGGAAGAACACAAAAGCATGAAGCAAGGATTTTATGAGGAAGCAAATCATGAGGCAAAATTGTTTCAGAAATATCAAGAATGCTACCATACCTCCTTCATTGGCAGTCTTCAAAAGGAGATGAACAGAATACAGGGAAAATATTGACACAAACGTCAAGAGAATTCTGATGAGAGAAGAAAAGGCACAGGGTTATAAACAAGCACAGCTATATTTAAAGACAACTCTTTTTGGTTATCTAAACATTAAATACGGAACTTGTCCCATATTTCTGGTGCTAGACAGAATGCCCCCAAGAACTGGTGTTTACTTTCCTGGCTAGAGTGCCAACATCTTTCTTGGCACTGAAAATTTGTATCATGTCTTAGGTAATAGTTCTACAGTATTGATTAAGAGCAGGGGTTTACCCACTGAAGGTGCCAGGAGACACTGGAGAGCCTAACTTTAAAGTTGGTGGAATTACGAGACTTATAATCTTATTTTGGCACCATTACATTTAGCTGTATCCTTGCCACTTCTCTGAATTTTAATAGTTCCTTTTATCTGTAAAGTGATGGTACTACCTGCCAGTAAACCCAGACTACAAGGTACTTGTGAAATCCAATTGAGATAGGTTCAGGGAAGGTTTTGAGACCAGCTGGACTACACAGATACGGAGAGGAATGGGACTATAAGGAACGGGGGAAAAGATACTAACATTGTAAGTGTCAGGCACAGCTTTACAAACAACTAGGCACAAATCAGAGATGAGACCGCTGTGACGATATACTATATTGCACCCCATGCTGTGGAATACAGGCCTACCATTGTCACAAAGTTAAACAATGCGCATGCTAACACAAGTAGGCTATCAGTCCAACTGTCTGGGCTGTCTCTTCTCTCAATCTTTTCACTTGGATAGAACAGGAGAAAAAAAAAGGAAAAGAATAGAGAGAGACTAAAGCTTCCCTAATATCACTTAGTTTTTCTATAGTGTCTCGATTCTCTCATTCCAGCTTTATCTTCCTCCCCACTATAGGCAAGCCAAGAAAAATATGGATTTCTTTTTATTAAAAGGAACAAAAAAATCAAAATCAGGGAAACTCATACAAAACTACAAACAAGAAGACAGACACATCTTTTTGATTCTGTATGGGCAATTTGAATACAGTACCAAATAAGGTCTGGCAAAGAAACCGATGTCTGTTAGTTAAGCACAGGTGGTGGCATTAAGCTGCCATTCTAATGCCAAAAGTTTTATGGGGTCTAGTCTGAGGTGGAAAACGACACCATCAGCCTCACCTCTAAGTGGACAAAGTTGTTGGTTTAATCAAAAACAATTTTCAAAGTATGCTGACAAATTCAGTCCTTCTTTCTGTCATTACACTGAAATGACAAAAAGGGATGAATAGACTTCATAACCTTTGAGGTCACTTTCAACTCAAGATTGATTCTATTAATAAGGTTAGCTACAGAGTTGTTTAACCAGACTCCATACCTCCAAATATACCTTGTAAAATACTGGTGGATTAAAAACTCACTTTAGCACTCTTGATGTTATTTAACCATTTATTAAAATGGTTAATCATCAAACACATAGACCCTATTAAAGTACAAATAATTTCAAAAGTGCAAGGGCAACATGTCAGAATTTTGCTTTTGCTTACGAAATAGAGGTGCCTTTAATCTCATGTAAATTCTGCACTATAACCACACTGGCAGCATTTAAAGACTGCCTCCACTTTTTATACTAAGAGTTAGCAAGAGTTTCAAATTTTTAACAATGATGCCATTCAAGTTCCCCACCAAAAATTTTGAAACTCTAGGGGCCTTTCTGTTTCAATTCCTGGTCTTTCACCTTAGTAAGAGGTCTCAAAAAGCCTCATGCTAATGATGAAAGCTGACTGAATCCTAGCTTCCAATGCTCAAAGCCAGGCTTAACTTCAGTGTGGAATTTCACCACAAAGCAGAGCTTTGCAAAGGTCTGCTTTTCTTTTCACGAACATTCTATTCTGCTGGAGAAAATAACTTGAGTAGAAGGCACCAATCAGCTAACTAAAATACATGTGTCTCAAAGGGACAATTCCACACTACATGTATGTATGGTTTCTTCATCTATACAATAAACCACGCTATCTTCCAGAGAAACAGCCTTAGCCAGGAACCCATGGGTACTTGATAGCTCTGACGCAAACATCATTTAAAATGCGTGCTTAAATTTATATGTATTTTTGTTTTACCCCAGAAATAAGGTTTTCTTTTCTATTATATTCTCCAAGGGTCAGTGACTCCACAATGGTTCAAGAACCACTGCTCTCAAGTCTTCTGTAGCTCCAAAATTCTATTCTAGCTATTTATGCTGGAAAGTAGAGAAGTAACTAATTCTAACTGGGCAACTAGGGGGGGAAAAAAAAACACTTAAAAGCAGGTAATTATTAAAATATTTATTTTTTTGCTATGGCATGTGGCAATCAGACAGACCTGGAAGAAGTAAATATTAAAAAACAAAAAACACCTATGGGTTGCTTTTCAGGGTCCAGAAAATTATGACTCACTTTTCTTAAAACAAACATGTTCCAGGTTAGGCAAATACCATCACATCCTATATACATGAAAAAAAAAAATCAGTTGCTTTCCTTATGCACGCAAGGGGCCACAGGTCCTTGGGGACACTGTGTCAATTTACCAAACTGATTTGGAGGTACTATGCTTACTAATATTCTATGCTTCTGATTTTGCAAGAACAAAATATCTAATTACCCTGGATTTATCAATAGTTCTTTTTAAATATCCAACCCCTGTTACAACTCCGTTTTAACAAGTCCCAGTGACTTAAAAAGACTTTTGGCTTAAGTATCAGTTTAAAGTACTGTCCTGTTTTTTCCTACCTAATTGGCTTTCTCGATATCATGCAGTTATATACTAGAACAAAGAGATTTTTGGATCTCTCATTTTAAATTTTAAGCAAATGATTTTTAAGTCAACTACTTCAACTGTAAATTCAGTCTCTGGAACCAAAATATATGTTGCATCATCATAACTGCCCTGCACAGCAGACTCACTACTTACACATACTTACATAAAAAGAGCAATTCCAGTATTAGCCATGGCATAAGAAAGCCCAAGGATTCCACTGCCCACAATCGCATTGCTCAGATTAAATACTGACATTCCAAAGGAAGTAGTACCTGGATGCTACATAGAGGGAAAACGATAACCAAACATATAACAATAATTAAAAGGAGAAAACCAGCTTTGGGCAAGTTAGATTTGAAATCTGAAGTAAAACTATTCTTTTACTCCATAAAGCCACAGACACACAAATTACTTTTTTAACTTACAAAGTCTGTTTCATATTTCTTCTTCCCCAAATTCGATTCAAGTAAAAAGTTCTGGTTTTCAGGATCTACATCTGCATAATGGCTGCAAAAAAAAGGAGAAATCCTAAATCGCGTTGAAATATACAACGGAATGCTTGCACACAAAACAGCCCTTCAGTTCCCTCACACACATTTACTTAAATGCGCGTTAAGTAGGAGTCCACTTGCACACGAGGTATTGTCACTGCAATAAGACAACCGGATACTCTTTCAGGGATCACACTCTCTCTCCAAATGTTACAGTAAATTAAAGCAACAGAAGCTGAGTCCTAGCTAAAGAACCCCCGACCCGCACCAGCCGTCTTGAAAAGAGCACACAACTTCTCCCACCTTTTCAGAGCAGCTTGCTTGGTGGGGTAGGAGTAGTTGAAGTCGCTGTTCGAACTGTAGCTACTGCTGTCCTCATCCGGGGAAATATTGAACTTTCCCATTTCGGCTTTCTTCATGCTGCGCACCTGGAGGAATCGGGTGCAGCGAGTAACACTGGGCTTCCTTTTGTCCTTGGCGTGCACCGGCCCGCGCTGCTGCCTGCGAAAGTAGAGGCGGCGCGTCAGGACTGCGGCGCCCGCCCTGGTCACGTGACGCCGCGGGAGGCGCAGCGCGGCTGATTCATCCCCGGCCAGGCGAGTGGAAAAGTACCAGCCGAGCGCGAGGGGCGGGGGAGCGCGGAGCCGCGGAAAAGTACAGACAGCCGAGCCGCGGAGAACAAAGATGGTCCCACCGCGGCGCTGCGCCCGCCGGACCCCGAAGCCCTTCTCCAGCGGATCTGAGCATCTCACCCGCTCCATTATCCCAGGTCTGAGGGCAGGGCTGCGGGGGGCTCTGTTTCGCCACCCCCTGCCCCAGCCTCTCTGGTCGTGCCCAGGCACGCAGGGCACACGTCCTACCCAGGCACTGGCTAGGTGTGCTTGCAGCCAGGCTTACAGCTGCCCGTTTCTAGCATTTGCAACAGCAATGCCGCGTAATTCGTCCTCGCCCGGAGCCGCCAGATGGGGACACGCTCCTGCGGCAGATAGCAGACTCGAAAGGGGCGGAGAGGGCTGACATGAGTCGTCCTCTCTAGAAAAGGGGCGAACGCCCGTTCCTGGGCGCGCAGAGGTGCCGAGGGATTGTTTACACGCGCACGCCCGTGCCCTCGACACGCTCGTCCACAGGCATTTGGCTCGCCAGCGCTTCGCCTGGCCGGCCCCTCCTATGCCCGGAAAGGAAACTGATGCAATATCGATCGCCGATTGTCAAACGTCCCCAGCCCGTCTTCCCCAACCGTGGCCTCGGCTAACTCAAAGCCCGAACCCACCACCGCCGCCCCCAAATTCCAAGACCCTGGATTTAATTTGTATTTATGCAAATCAGTCACAAGACTTGCCGCAGAGGAGCCGCGGGCCAGGCTGGCTCCCCTCCCCCTAACGGGAGGACGCGGCCCCCGCACCGCGCCCCTCCCCCGCCCGAGGAGGGCGGCTACTCCCGCGCAGCCGGGGTCGAAGGCGGGGCCCACCGACCGCAAACACCCGTCCCGGGCGGAAACGACCCCCGCAGCTGCCTTCCCGCCGCCCCTCCCCCCCCGCGCCCCGCGCCCTTTGCACAGACGCCCCCCGCGCGCCTCACCTCGGTGGTCTCCGCTCCTGTGTCCCGGAAAAGTCAGGCAAATGCCTTCGGTGGGTTTTACTCAGTCAAACCAAAATCGTAAAAAAAACAAAAACAAGAAAACCCCCAACACCAGACAGGAAAAATAATTTTAATAAAAAAAGGAAATGGCAAGTTGCCGCCCCAATCGTCCGGCGTCCGCCGTCTGAAGGGAAAGGCGCGAGCGTGCGGGAACGCGTGGTCGGGCTGGCGGCGGCGGTGCGGGGAAAGGCGCTCCGGGACGGCAGTGTCGCGCGGCTCTGGAGCCGGCGGGCGAGCAGCGGGGTTATAGCGGAGCCCGGGAGGACGCGTCAGTGGGCGGGGCCCAGCCGCCGGGTGCCTTCCCTTTGTGTATCAACACCACCTGGGCTCCGCCCCCGGCCCGAGGCCCCGCCCCCGCCCCCCCAGCACCCCGGCCCTCCCGGCGGGCTCGGGCGGCCCGGCCCCGCCCTCTGGCGCCCCCCGCCCCGCCTCCCTGCAGCAAAACCAAGCGCCGCTCTTTCTAGTCCCCCGGTCCGCTTGGAAAGACCCCCATGCGTCCCTCGGCCTGTCCATTTCGGCCCCGAAGGTCCCCAACACATGCGGTTGTCTCTGAGGAGACTTCCCCGTCAAATTCCCTTCCGTACGAGTTACCAGCAGTCTTTGCTTTCTCCTCAAGGCTTTTTGGGGACACATCTCGCCCACCCAACCCTTTCCTGCCTGTTCTTTTTGTGATGTACCCGGGGGTTTTCCCTAGCAATCTTGGGCTAAGGGAGCAACGTTGTCTCCCTGATGGGTTTCTGTTCTCATTCTTTCTTCTCCACCTGGACCTGCTTTCACTCTTCAAAACTAGCCTGATTAGGTTGGTTGGCAGCTCCATTTCGGGATATCTTTTTTGTCTGAACATGGAAAACCCTACTAGAGGGGAAAAGCTACATCGTGACCAGCAAGCCAGATCCCTTGAAAGGGAGCCCTGGTTGGGCCTCGAGTTGGGGGAACCGGCTCTTTTGAGGAGGTGTAGGAGTCCCCAGTTTTCCCTTGGCAGACACGTTTTACTCATTCCACCCCCCCACCTCCCCTAATTTGAGAGCTCCTCTCGCCCTGCTCGCCTTTCTTTCCTTGTATTTACAGAGGCGCTGCCTCCGTTGGAATGCTGGTCGGGGAGACTTTCTCCCGAGTCTGATGCTTCCCCTCCAGTGGTGATGTGGTCCTGCAACTAGGGGGCCCCTTCGCTGTGGAATACTCGGCGCTGCCGGAAAGGCAGGCGTCTGTCCCTTGCTGGAAACAAAGGCCCCTTCCGAGAGAGAAATGTTTGTTGAATGAATGAATAAACAAACGAGTTTGACCTACTGCTCTCTTCCTTTTGAGGACGTGGGAGAGATTGGGCAGGGCGCAGAGGAAAGGGTTGGGTGTGATCACAATTTTTGCTTTCAATGTTTTCCTGAGGAAATCTGTACAACTGTGGATTTCCGTGGCACGTGAGGCTGCCAGTGCCCTGGGCCTGCACCAGAGTTCATGATTGACAAGGGAGGACCCGACTGCCCCTTTACATCCTTTTGTTCCCCACCCCTTCTACTGGTCAGACCAGTCTCTCCTAAACAATACTTTTAGTGCCCAATTTCCCCTCACCATCCCTCAAGGCTTAGTCACTGAGCCTCAGGAAAGCTTCCCTCCGCCTTCATCCCTCCCTTCTCACCCCTCTTTTTGCCAAGTACTATTTTCCAAACCATGTGGTGCAGGACTTTTTAAAACCTGTACTGTCTTGTACTTAAAATGGTTCAAGTTTGTAGTCTTGTCTCCCCAGGGAGATCGTGAACTCTCCGAAGACAGGTTTGCCATTTGACACACAATGGCAGCTGAAAAAACTTATCTTTCTTCCATTTACATTCCCTTTAACACGGATCACCTCCTCTTGTCAGGAGAGCAATCTTAGTGGGGGTTAGAGGACTCCCTGGAAGTTCCTTTATATCTGGTTTCAACAGATAAAGATCAAAAAGTCTTAAACCACGTTTTCATCTAGGTGAGTCTCCTGCCCAGTAAGAGGTGCTAAGGAAGCCCTCAGGGTTGGTGGTTATGGTTGGCAAGTCCCACTCTCACAACTAGATTTCTTGTCCTTTGGATTTTTTGGTGGTTTGTCTTGCAAAACATGCTTAAGAGAACCTGTAAAATTCAGGGCAAGTGCATGTGTGTGCTGGGGGGGAGTGCTGTAATCTTGTTCTGACCTCTGCATGATAAGAACCTAACAGTAAATGAAAAAAAGAGAGAGAGGCGCTGAAACGTCTGTTTTTCTTTCTTTTTTTTTTTTTTAAAGATTTTATTTATTTATTTTTTCCCCCCAAAGCCCCAGTGGATAGTTGTATGTCGTAGCTGCACATCCTTCTAGTTGCTGTATGCGGGACTCGGCCTCAGGATGAACGGAGAAGTGGTGCCTCGATGCGCACCCGGGATCCGAACCCGGGCCACCAGCATCGCAGCGCGCGCACTTAACCACCAAGCCACAGGGCCGGCCCTGAAATGTCTGTTTTTCTATTGCCAGTTTGATTCACGTTTTTAAAAACCAATCTGAGGCATATCTGCTAACTCAAGTGGCTTCCAACTGAGGTCTGATGTGCTTGGGTTTTTGCTGTTATGCTTTGAGCTAGAAGGCATGGGACACGGTGCCCTTTCCCAGTTTCTTGGGAACTGTCCCACCAAGCCCTTGTTGGTCAGAAGTGCTACGATTTTGCTTTATTTCTAAGCTAATGTTTTGAAGAATAGCGTTTTTCAAACTGCAGAATGGGACACAGTGGTGGATACTGAAGAATTTAGTGGATTACTATGAGCTGCTTTTCTTTAATGCAATAGAACAAAATAGAATAAAAGATATCAGTATACCATATATAGTAATGCTAAGTACTATTCTGTAAAACTTTAATTTTGATTATGTATGCACACGTGTATATTCTGAGTTGTGATGTAAAATACATTTCTTACTGTGGATTGGGATCAAAGAATTTTGAAAGCTCCTGAGAGCAAACCTATCCTAAGACAGAAAAATAATCACAAATATCAATTGTCAACTCTGGATTTTCAGGAATGCATTGTCAAAGTAGGTTGTTAGAAGTTTTTAGAGAGGGTAGATAGCTATCTTCTGTAGAATTATTTGACTATTATCACCTGATAAAATAGAGTGGTTTTGTTTCCTGGGGGCTATAATGACTTGACCTTCCCAACTTGTTGTTGAACAGCTGGTCTTTAGGATGCTCCTCAAAATTCTATTTATCCAGCATTTCTATTTGCCCAAAGTAGGATTAAACACTAAATTTGCTTTTCTCTACCCTCCATTTCCAACTGAATAGTTTCCTTCTCAGGTTGCCTTTCAGTGCTTTCTTTGATCTGGCCCTAGCCTATAGTTCTACCCTTTTCCTTCATTATTCCTTGTGGTAGGCAGCTGCTAAGATGGCTCCCAATGAATCCCACCTCCTGACAGTCGTGCCCATTTGTAATCCCCTCTCCTTGAACATGGGTTGGACTAGTGATGTGCTTCTATTCAGCAAAAGTGATGGCACATCACTTCTAAGATTAGGTTACAAAAAGACTCTGGCTTCCATCTTGCTCTCTCCTTCATTTGTTTTGAGGGAAACCAGCTGGCATCTTGTGGACTGTTCTATGGAGAGGCTCATGTGGCAAGGAACTGTTGTCTCTGGCAACAGCAAGAGAGGATCTGAGGCCTGCCAACAGTCACATGAGTAGCTGATCTTTCGGATTTGAACCTTGAGATGACTGTAGCGCCAGCTAATACCTTAGTGAGAAGACCCAGCTAAGCCCAGCCTAGATTCCTGACCCAAAGAAATAACTGATGATGTTTATTGTTATAAGCTGCTAAATTTTTGCATAGTCTGTTACTCGGCCATAGATAAAGAATACATTCTCCATCATATACCCTATGCTTTTGCCAAAATGTATTGCTCTGTGTTCTCAATACAAACCATTTCCCATTCAAACTGTTCCTGCTGCCTGGAATGTTCTTCATACCTCCTCTTCCCAGCCATTCTGTGTATCTAAACTCTATCTTTCCTTTGAGGCCCAGCTTAAATACCACACCTTTCATTAATTTTTCTTTATTTGAGACTCCCATTTGAAACTGATCTCATTCAACTTTGGACTCAGTGCTTTATAACTATCTTTTTGTGTCGTCTATGTACTAGATTTTATGTTAGGGTCTTTTCAGGGTAGAATCTGGCTAATGACACCCAGCCTTGTCACTTGTAAAGAGAAGGTACTTTTGGAGTATATGGATAAATTAAATATGTTTTTTCTTTATAGTACCTATCACCATCTGAAATTTTGTTAAATACATTTGTTTACTTGTTTATTGTCTCCCTCACTAGATTGTTTAATCTGCTTTGATCACTGTTAGCTCCAGTACCTCCAACAGTGCCTGACAATATATTTTTGTTGAATGAATAAATGCAGGAGTAAATAGTTTTGAGTTTCTCTAGGACCAGGAGAAAATATATTACCCAATATGCCTAATATGTTACATAAACATATTATCTAATATCATCCCTTACTGGCCAAAGCAGAACTCTTGATTTCCCTAGCAAAACTGTTCCTTTTCTAATTTTTACAATTTAGAAGAATAGCACCACCATTCACATGGGAACTCAGGCTCCAGATCAGGGAGTCATCCTGAGCCCACCTTTTCTTCAAATATCTAATCCATCAGCAAGTCTCGAGGGCTCCGCCTCCAAATATATTCAGAATCCTGCCACTTGTCACCATCTCCAGTGCTCTGGTCATAGTCCAAGTGATCGTCACCTTTCTCCTGGATCCCTGCAAGAGCCACAGACTAACTCATCTCTAGACTTCCATTCTTGATGTTCAGTCCATTCTCCACCCAGCTGTCAGAAGGATCTTCTCAGAACATAAATCAAATCCCTTGTTTAAAGGGATAAATTATTTCCCTCACTTAAAGCCCTCTAGTGACTTCTAATTGCAATCAGAATAAAATCTATATTCGTCACTCATCCTGATCTTACTTGGTTGTGCCCCTGCCTACCTCCTCAACCTCATCTCCTACCACTCTTCTCCTTTCCACTATGTACTAGCCACATTGATTTTCTTTCTGTCCCTAAAACACTCTAAGTTATTCCCTTTGCAGGGCTCTGCACTTGCTTTTTCTTCCACCTAGAAATCTCCTTGCCTATACCTTTGTGTCGCTGCCTTCTCATTATTTAGGTCTCAGCTTAAATGTCACCGCCTCAAAAAAAAAAAAAATCTTCCTTGACCATCCCAGCAAACATTGTCCATTGAATGCAATCTCCATTTCCCCATTGTCCTATTTAATTTTTTGTTGCATTTTTTCATGGTATGAAAACATATTAT